TGTGTGTGTGTGTGTGTGTGTGCGTGTGTGTGTGTGTGTGTGTGTGTGTGTGTGTGTGTGTGTGTGTGTGTGTGTGAGTGAGTAAGTGAGTGAGTGAGTGTTTGTGTGTGTGGATGTGAATTCATACAGGTGTGGAACAACTTGAGGGTGAGTACATGATGACAGAATTTTCAATTTTGGGTGAACTATCCCTTTAATAACATCTGTTATATTAACAATATATAAACAGTCCTTCCTATTTTGAATATCTTACTCTCAGTTTTAAATAATCAAAATTATTGACAGGCCAATATACTGCCAATTATTCAGCCAATATTTGAGATTATTGACATCGATGAGTTTTATTTATTTATTACAAACATACAGTATATCAGATTGTATGAGTCACTCTTCTCTCACTTGAGTAATCCTAAAGTCTGAAGTGTAAACCTTAAATGATGTACGCAACCCAATTTATTTCCATTATTACATATTTATGAGATTTCTACATGCAGATATCTAATTTTTCATTTCTTGAGATTTGTTATTTCTTCTCAGATAATCTCAAAGCACTTACATAGTTCTGTTTTAGATCTGGATGCTGTCTTTCTATACCATCATCCAGAATGGAAACGACAACCCCTTTCCCAGTGTAGCCCCTACGCCAGGCGGCCTGAATGTTCATGTCGGTCAAGCAGTTGTGATCACAGTGCTATGGAACAGAAGGCAAACATAACAGGTTTTTAGCATGCTTTTATTCATCTCAGATTATCACTTAATTCAAATAATTGCATCAAATGTAATGCAATATATATACTTTAACTATATTTCAAGGGGTCATATGATGCGATTTCAATTTTTCCTTTCTCTTTGGAGTGTTACAAGCTCTTGGTGCGTAAAGAAGATCTATAAAGTTGCAAAGACTAAAGTCTCAAATCCAAAGAGATATTCTTTATAAAAGTTAAGACTCGTCCACGCCCTCCTAAAACGCCTCGTTTAAAAACGCCCCCACATGTCTACGTCACCAAATACACCAAATAATTTATTTTTAGCAACGTCATATGACCCCTTTAACTATATTGTTTCCATAAAGGTACTCTTTTTAAAAGTATGCAAGGGATATTTCAATATGATATAACACTTCTGAACATATTACTTTAGTTTAGTATTGTTCAGTTTATTAATGTCTTTTAACTGAATATAACATTTCTGATTGTAATGTGTTGCATACTAACAATATACCACATGCTGTCCCATTCAGGGTCATTGAAGCTGGCGGCATGGGTTTGGTCCATTGTGTCAGTTCTTTTTACTCTCTTCTGAACCATCTGTTGCTGGATCCACTTCACCTTTAGCATTAGAACATATTTATGATGTGCTGCTGAATACATATCATGCTTCGCAAACCACAGTGAATTAAATGAAATATTAATTAAGAGCAATTATCATTGTCTCATTTAGTTTTGGCCAAGTTTAAGGATGCATCCATGTGGTTTGGTGTACCGCTCTCTTAATCTGTTTTGGTAAGTGTATGTGGTGTTTATAGGGTGGTGTAGTCTAACTTATTAACTATTCAGTGGTGTCTCAGTGACTGAAGGTATTTGATCCTTGTACCTTGGTCTCCGTGGCGATGAGACTGTGGTTTCCTCTGCTTTTAATTGTGGACCGTTTGATAATTCTGCTGTGCTGGAACTGGTAATGGTCTACTAGCCCACCTATCTGCAGTGACACAAGAGGAAGAAGATTGTGTTTTATATATACAGCCGCTGCTCAATTGTGACTGACAGAGATATAAATTATGTATTCATCCCTGACGTATGCCTTTGAAACAATAAAAGGGTTATCCAACACCGCTGATAGACTTACCATCAGAGGCAACCTGAGCTACCACTGTATGATTCAGCTGAGCTTAAACTTTGGCTGCTGATTACTCTTTGACACCCCGTGCCTTGACATTATGATGTTGGCCAAAGCCATACCAGATTTAACCGGAACTAAACAGCCCCACTGTGGACGGCAGTTACACATTTCATTTGACTCAGTAGAGGAAGTCAGCATCTACACGTTACCAAAGACAACATGTGCGCAATTAGACAAAGCAAAATAAACAGATTTATCACACAGAGCAGGAAACCCAAATAGTGACCATGGGCCAAAGAAATCCCATGATGCATTGCACAACAAACCACTGGGATTCAAACTGGCCTAAAAGTAACACTACACACTCTAAAAAATGCTGGGTTAAATATAACCCAGCATTTTTTAGAGTGCAGGAATATTCCAAGCTCTACTCACAGCATCTTTTGAAACAATTTTTTTTAATGTTTTTGAAAGAAGTCTCTTATGCTTATCAAGGCACTCCCTTTTGATGGCAAAACTGAATTTTCAGCAGCCATTACTCCAGTCTTGTCCTTGCTAAATAAAAGTATTTTTAAAAAAACCAGTACCGAACCCAAACGTTTGAACTGTAGTGTATGTGTTGACAGTTTTACATTTTACACAGTTTTACTGTACAGTAGCCTGACTTATAGACTCGTTTCCATTTCAAATGCATTCCTATACACAACTTTGTTCCTGTTTTTTCCTCTAATTTTAAACTCAAATATTAAATTAAGTGAAAATTACATTTAAAAATCTTGATTGTCATTTAAAAATGAGTGTCCTGCCTCATTAAATTATATCTCTTAAATTTACAATTGCTATATTTATTTGCACAGTAAGTTCCTTACTTATTTTCTCTCCTAGGAGACAAAAGAAAGTGTGCCAGTTGGTTAACTGAAGTAGGGTATAGGATGCCAACGAGTTTAGGAGCTCGTCTTGCATGGTTAAACACATTTATTATACAAGAGCCAGTGACCCAGAGACATGGGCTCGGTAAGAATGAAAGACTAATTTGAAAGAAAACAAATTCTAGGAACAAGGACTAGAGTTTGTGTTTGCACAGAATGTGTTCATAAGAATATGAGTTTGTCTATGAAGTTTTATCATGGAAATAATTGGACCTGGTGAAACATCATCTTCTACTTTCAATAACAGTAATTCAAGCATGACTTGAATAAAATTCCATATGGATTTGCTTTTCAAAGTACCATGGTATTACCAACTGTGACCATCACTGTATCATGATGAAAAGTTACCAATTACAATTCTGGGATCATGCAGAAAACATAAAGACACAAAAGCATACTATCTATTTTGATAAATCACATACTTTTTTTTTTTATAAGCCTTTGAGATACATAAGCATTTCAATACTGGAAACACGCATTTTAAATAATGAATACAATAAAGTTTAAAAAATTAGAAAACACCCAGTTTATATTGTAAAAAGGGAGACTGTTAAGCTTTTTTTTTTAGATGTTACCAGATGAAGCATATTTAACTGGCAAAGCATTATTGCAGTGCACTTACCTGGCCCATGTTCACAAATCCGTATTTTTCTGCAATAAGATCAGCAGCGTCAGAACCTCCAGTTATTTTAACCGCCCAGCGGTTTGTGAAGATTTTTGTCTGGACACATTGGAGTCCAATCCAGAGTAAAAATGCATATGGAAAAAGTGCTGTAGGAGACATCTTCAGACGGCTTCATGCAGAAATATTGATCTGATGACACTCCTCATTGAAAATTTCTCATTAAAAAGCGACTTGACATTGTCTATAATAGCCTGGACTGTCAAATGATTGTAAAAAAGTTCCTAAAGGACCTCGTTTGACTGTGTGAGTGCTACTTCATTGTGATGGCTCCACTGCATCTGTTGCCTGTGGCACATCTTCTCCAATTACAGTCCTATCAGTTTCTACAGGTGCACTGTGTGCTCGGACAGCAAACAGGAAACACTGGGAACACTGGATAATAGGCCTAACATCCATTCATGACATTATTATATTAAACAGCATTGGATCAATGTGCTTTTTAATATTATTTGCTTGCTGTATATTTAGCCAAATACTTATTTGTATTTATTTTTTCCTATTTGTTATTTATTTTCTCTTTTTTTATGATATTTGGTTTACATATATTTAATTATTGATGCCTTCTATGTAAACATTGTGTATAAATATAATTACCTTCAAGTAATCTGAAACTAAACAATTTCTGAATTGATTGGTTTTATTCACATTAACTCAAGAAATGAATCAATATAAAGAATAAACTCAATGCATTGGGTTACACCAAAATATGTGATCAGATCAGAAAGAAATAGCTCCTTATGGCAACAACTGTATGTTTTCAGTGACAGTATACATTCAAATGTCAAAAACGTTGAGAATCATACAGCTTGCTTGCACAAATATAGAATTAATTAATGATGTTACTTTAAAGTATCCTGAGACACTTAAACACCACATGCCTTTGAGTGTACTGGTCAAAGAAAAAATATTACACAATGAGTTGCACAAAGAGTTTTAATAAAACACTCCTAAAGAGCCACACCCTGAGGAGATTAGGTGTTTACACGGGTCATGAATACACCCATTTAATGAACAGATGTGTTTAGCGTGATCCAGTTGAATGAAGATATTTATTGTTGTCTACGGAGTCCCACAGAGTGCCAGCACGATCTTCTCATAATCCCCTTTTGTTTCTTTCTGTAAAAACAAAGAAGCCACTTCTCATTGAGGTTTTAAATACGAGTGATCTAAGAACGCGAAATACAAAAATACAAAAGCTTTTCAGATCACCCATTATGAGTTACAAATACTCACCAGAAGGTCTTCCTGAAGGGTTTTGCCATACATCCTCTTGTACTCTTGCATGATTTTCAGCAGGTCAATTTCTGAACGACTCACAATGATTCTAGTCAGCGTGTCAGTGTCGGTTCCCACTCCCTATAAAGCAAGACCATATTAGAGTTTATTTGATTTGATGATGTGACTGAATTCTGTTGGCAGCTATTTTTGTTGGTTTGTCCATTTGTTAATAACAGGATAAGTTAGCACTTGTACCAAAGAAAATGTTAAACTTCTCAATCTTTGTTATGCAGTTATAATGGTATTAGTTGAGATGCCAAATCTGACCAATTCTGGAGTTATTTGTGAAAATGCAAATTTGCTTAATATAGTGATAAATAGATTTGAACAAAGTCTTCTTCATCAAGATGTTGACACCCTGATTGCTATCCTTTAGGCCAGAAAAAAAAAAGAGTCATTTTAAAGTCTCCAGAAATTGGGTTCTAGCCTCTTTGATCATTGGAGCAGATAAAAAAAAAACTTTACCTTCATTGCCAGTTGGAGCCTTTCTGCAAAGTAGGCATGTTTGTTCCAAGCACCCTTCACTAAAACATGAAAAAGACAGTAAGAACATTGTTAATGCAAACACAAACAAATTAATTAATTAATTCCTTTAATTATAATAATTCTTCTTATTATTATTATTATTAATTATAATTATAAATTAATTTGAACAATGTTCAATATTTTTTAACATAAATTTAGTTAATCTTGGATATTTGTACCTAACCTAAGTTTTCGTGTGTGAGAATGAAACCACCCTCAACGAAACCACCCTCAACACGCACAGCTGGAAAAACAGGCCTGTCTTTTGAACAAGTTTTAATAGAGCTGCCTTCATTCATATGGCCACTGAAGCATTTAAAACGACTATTTCTCTTTCACACACCCACACAGACTTAAATGAAGTCTTATATATTTACCCAAGGTCATCAGGCAGTCTTCAAAGTTTCCACTCAGCTCACCCTCAAGATCTTTGGCCAAACCGTCTTTGCTGAATTGGCCATAATATTGTAAAACTGTAGATTTTAAACAACACTGTTAGTGCCTCATAGAAAAAAAAAATACATGAGCTGAACTACACCAAAATGGCATATCATAGAAATCAACTATCTCTGAAGAGGAATCAGAGTTCTCCACTTACTTTTGCACAACTGAGCTTCACTCCTGTTTGTGAGGATGTCAATCAGAACAGAGCAAACAGTGCCAATCCGATTCTCTCCTGCTTCAAAAAGAGCCTGAAACAACAACATAGCAAAGTCAGAGACAGTCAGTATCTACATTAGGTAACACTTTAGAATAATGGTCCATTGTTAACAAGTATGCAGGAAGTAATAGGTAGTGCTACATGAACACTGAACCTTATACTATTACCTAATATGGAAGCAAGATTAACTAAGCAGTAAGTAATAGCAAATTTAGGACAAAGTTCCTTATTAGGTATTTGATAATTACTAAATAAAAATATCCTCATTGAAAACTACTTGCAAACATTGACCAATTAATAAAGAATAAACGATTAATCATTAATCACAACAGTAACATGTCTAAAAAAGTGAACAATTTTCTTTTTAAAATTCTTAACATGGTCATAAAATGTCTTTTTCAGAATCTTGCACCTCAAATGGGTTCTTCGTGGAAACTAATTTATGAATATTATATCCCCCCAAATATGGCTACAGGTTGAGATTGTGACTACTGCTCTTACCGAAGGATGGACGTATGTTCTCTGTTTATTTCAAACTTAAACATAGAATAATAATAATAATGATAATTCGCATAAAATTTAAATAATTCAAAAGTGATGCTGAAATTAGTTCACTATTATGATCTCTTTTCAGTGTCAGTTCAATGTCTCTGACTCTAAAAGACCTACCTTTAGTGACAGTATCCTGGGGAGGACTTCTCTTTAGGATATAAATATAAACAATGATGTTCTCTTGTCAAAAACAATTTGCATCCTTAATGAAGTCATTGACTGCATTTATATTACGTTAAGCACAAAACCACATCTTCCAGATTATAATGTGTGTTGGAATATCACTAGTGCCTCGCAGAAATGAATGGCTGTACAGTATGTGTCAGATATAAAATATATTAACATATAATATATCTATATATATATATTTAATATATTATAAAATATATTAAATAACTTATTACTTGTGAAGTCCATGTCAACCCCTCACTGATTACTCAAGCGTTACCTTGTCAGCCCACTTGAGTAATTAGTGAGGGGTTAACTTGTTAACGTGTTTTTCACTTTAAAATCATAGTCCAGATCACTAGTAGTTCCTGTGGTCCAACAAGGTAACGCTTGAGTGATTATTGAGTGGTTTTTAGGCATGTTATTATTGTGATTAGTAATTAATTGGTTATTCTTTATTAATTGGTCATAGTTAGCAAGTAGTTCTTAATGAAGATATATTATTTAGTAATTATCGAAACCTAATAAGGAACAACCTTTGTCCTAAATTTGCTATTACTTACTGCTTAGTTAATCTTGCTTCCATATTAGTTAATAGTATTAAGTTCTGTGTTAAAGGGACCTTACGCTACGACTACGTCATCCGCCAGAATGAACACGCGTACGACAGTTAGCGGAAGCTAGAGATTACGGTCTATAAAGTTTTAAATATGGATATTTTTTTTACAAAAACGCATTGATTCGCTTCAGGAGGCCTTTATTCACCCCCCAAAGCCGTGCGAAACACTTTTTAATTATGGATGGAGGTGTTTTATTGGACTTCTTTTGGACTATTGACAAGAAGCACCCACTCACTGCCATTATAAAGCTTGGAAGAGCCAGAATATTTTTTTTTATATAACTCCGATTGGATTCGTCTGAAAGAAGAAAGTCATATACACCTAGGATGGCTTGAGGGTGAGTAAATTATGGGGTAATTTTCATTTTTGGGTGAACTATCCCTTTAATATAGTACTACCTATTGCTTTCTGCATGGTTACTTCTTAACAACGGATCATTATTCTAAAGTGTTACCCGTTGTTTGTTTCCATTTATAATGCTTATTACATGGCTTTGTGCAAAACTTGATTATGTTGGGTCAAACATTGAGTGGTCAGATACTTTTTTAATGACTGCAAAATTATATAATGGACCACTGTCCATGGCAACACATGAAAATGGAAACGCTGATCTGAAGAACAACAAATCAGTAAGCTTAAGTACAGAGTTGAGATTTTGCAGTAATGACCAGCTGACAAACTTCACTGGCTATAGAGTAAGTGAAGAATCTTTACCTTTGCATCACTCTTAGCCATTCCATCATCAATGTTACGGTCTTCACTCCTGGTAGCCTGAAGTTATTAGATATTGATTAGTAATATGTCATCATCTATCTATGCAAAACACATAAAAGATTATTTTCTTGTTCTCTAACAAAACTGTCACTGAACTGTTATTTTTGTACCTTGCAAAGGGCAAGCAGGGTAGTCTCGAGATCTCCTTTAATGTCACTTTTAATATTTTCCTCCAGCAGCTCTCCATGGACTGTACAACAGAAAGAGGTTAGCAGCTACCTCTGCTTTTAGGAAGAACATGTACAGTATGTTTGTAAATCTTTCTACCTTCTTTGTAACAATTCTTCAATGCTGTAATCTCCTTATTTGACCTGGTCCCCAAAATTTCATTTAGGACGGCCTCATTTGTCCCAACACCCTGATTATCAATGACATTTTAGTATTAGTAAGTAGATTTAAGTATTTAGTAAGGCTTTGAATAAAATCAACACACACACACACACACACACACACACACACACACATACATAATACATATATATATATAATAAGAATATTGCATATATTGCAATAAGAACAGT